CTTGAGCCACAGCGCCACTTCCGGCTTTTTTCTTTTTTCTTATGTGGTGCTGAGGAATCGAACCCAGGGCCTCATGCATGCAAGGTAAGCGCTCTACCACTGAGCCACCTTCCCAGCCCCCTGGCCTCCACAATTTTTTTTTGGAGGGGGGTGCTTGAACTCTGGGCTTGGGTACTGTCCCTTAGCTCTTCAGCTCAAGGCAAGCACTCTATCGCTTAAGCCATAGCACCACTTCCAAGGAGGATTTCTTGAGTCCAGGAGTTACTAGCCTGGGCAACAGAGCAAGATTTCATCTCAAAAAGGAAAGCAGGGCAGTGGCCCATTCACAACTGGCTGCTGCAGCTAGTTTTCTGGCAAATTCCCCACATTCTTACAGTTTTCTTGTTTCTACATTTAGAATCTTTGTTGTTATTGTTGGTGATGGTGGGTCATGAGACTTAAACTCAGGGCCTGGGCCATGTCCCTGAGCTCTTTTGCTCAAGGCTAGCATGCTACCACTTTGAGCCATAGCCACTTTGTTTTCTGGTGGTTAATTGGAGATAACAATCTTATCTTGCGAACACAGGTGGCTCACACCTGTAATCCTAGCTACTCAGGATGCTGAGATCTGAGAATCACAATTCAAAGCCTGCCTAGGCAAGGAAAGTCAGTGAGAGTCTTATCTTCAATTAACCTCCAGAAAACCGGAAGTAACACAGTGGCTCAAGTGGTAGAATGAATTTTGGCCTTGAGTTGAAGAGCTCAGGGACAACACTCAGGCCCAGAGTTAAAATCATATACCACCACGACCACCACCACTACCACCACCAAAAGATTCTCTTATTTTGGGGTGTGTGTATGTGTGGGGGTTGGTCCTAGGGATTGAACTCGGAGCCTGGGTGCTGTTTGTGGGCTTTTTTTGATCAAGGCTAGCGCTCTAGTACTTGAAACACAGCTCCACTTCTGTCTTTTGGTGGTTAATTGGAGATAAGAGTCTCCCAGACTTTTCTGCCTGGGCTGGCTTTGAACCTCAATCCTCAGATCTTGGCATCTTGAGTAGCTCACAAGCATGAGCCACCACTTAATTCTTTTAAAGGCTAGGTGGAGTGGCTTGCATCTATAATTCCAGCTACTCAAGAGGTAGAGATAGAAGGATATCAGTCCAAGGCTAGCTGGGACAAAGACACAAAACCCTATTCCCCCTTAAACAAACTAAAAGTGAAAAGGATTGAGAGCGTGATTCAGGTGGTAGAACACCTGCCTAGCAAGTGCAAGATCATGAGTTCAACTCCCAATACTAACAAAAGAAAAAAAAATATATATATGAGATGTACGATAGACTTTTTGCTTCCTAAAATGGACAATGGTATCATGGGGGTTGGGATTAAGGAAGGAGATGACAGAGCAAGGAAGGGTCTACAGTGAGCTAGGGAGATCGTGCTTATCTGGTTGGGAAGAGCCACAGGAGGGAGCTTCAAGACTTCCTGGAGGAAAAGCCCACTTCCTGGGAGGGCACTGGAGGACAGTATGAATGGCTGGACGGGGACCAAGCAGAGTCAGGAGCCTGCCTGCCCGGGACTCACAGCTCCATCCCTCCACTGCCCAGGATACGAACTCACATCTGCACTGTGGTCTAGGGAAGAGAGACAAGTACAGGGATGTGGGAAGGGGTGTGGGAGGGCAGGGGGAGCTGCCTACCCACCTTGGCCTCCAGGGCCTTCAGCCGCTCTGTCAGCTCGGATACTTTGCTACAGTTGAGGCAACCTGCAGAGAGGAGGAGGCTGTTGGCTGTGGGCCAGGGGCCCCGGGATCCCCCCCCCTCTGAGTCCGCGGCCCCCAGGACAGGGGTGCAGGGATGAGGCAGACCCCTGGTGACCCCAGCCCAAAAGGAAGCTCAGCATGAGGGACAGGCTATAGAAGCACTGAAGGACAGAGCACCACATGGGGCCCGAATTCTGGCAGCTGGGTGTCCAAAAGGACTTCCTTTCCCAGAAGCCATTGCTAGAAATCCCATTGTTTCAGCAGGATGATGTGGGGCTGAGGTGTGGGCCTGGCGGTTTTAGAGACCAACACACCACAGACGGGGGCTGGCCTTGGAGGTGCCACCCTCTTGCCAGCTCACTGTCAAGTTTCTCTGGCTACCACCAAAGTCATTCCCAGTAGCTTAGACCATTCGCGAGCCTTTACAAGCTGGTCTTCCTGGCCCAGTGCTGCCCCCTCCAGGCAGGACAGGACATGGGGTCAAAGAGGTCTCTCAGGGAGGTATAGGGTGTGTGGCTGCAAGGTTTGAATGAGCTGGTGATGCCTGGCTCCAGCCTCACACACTGCACAAGACTAGAAAACGCATCTCTGATAAGGGCAAACAGGCGCGGGGGATGGGGCTTGGACTTAGTATCTGCAGGAATCCAGGAGTCCTGGCCTTCAGGGCACCTTGTCCAGGTCAGAGGCCTCTCTGGAGACCTTCCTCTCTCCTTGGGAACTCTTTCCAGCCTAAGGTTCTGTGTAACGGTGGGATCCTACTAAGATCCTGGCAGGACCTGATGGCTTTAGAATAATAGACACCCTAAAATTTGGTTCTCTTCCAGGTCTTCCTTGGCCCAGGATCCCCCAAGAAGCTGCCCCAGAACCCACCTGAGAAGGACATAGGCCGAAGGGCCATCCGCCGCATGGTGCTGCCCGGCCACACAGGCTCCACAAGGCCCGAGGAACCTGCAACAGGGAGATGAGGGGAGGGGAGGGTAAGGTCTCTGCTGACTGGGGTCCTCTCTGCCTGGTCAGACAGCCCTGCCTGCCATGTGGCCTCAGAAATGAACACTCTTCTCTTCTTGGTGTAGGGGGACAGGGCATAGGATATAGGGCAAAATCTGGGTCACACAGGACCAGGGCTGAGCTGAAATAAGACAGAACACCTGGCTGGTTGGCTATAGGAGCTGGCAAGGGGGTGGGGGCATAGAAGAGGCTGGGGGCTTGCCCACTAATTCCAGCCAGAGAGGCAAGTTAACAGCGGAGTGTCACCCGACAGGCTCTGGCCCTATTGGTTGATGATCAGGGTGCCATCCTCACTGGACCTGCCTCTGTCCCTCCCAGGCTGAAGGCCTGAAAACGGCGATGTGTGCAAAGGAGTTACTATGTGCACACAGGGCTGGCTTCATAGTAGGTGCTCAATAAAGGAGCCCATGACCCTACCACGTAAACTCTCCCTGCCCGACTTGTTAAGAGGAGACTAGAGTAGAACCAACTGGTTTTAAATGAAAGGCAGGAGGCCAGCCTCTGTTCCAGGAGCCCACCCCTGCGTGCCCTGGCGAGGGGCGCTGTGCCCTGGCTGGTCTGGCTTAGAAAGCCTGGTTTTCCATACAGCTGGAGAAAGGACTGGAGCAGCCAAGCCAGGAGTGGGGACTCCAGCTGGAGGGGTTCTCAAGCCAGCAGTGGCAACTGCTCCCCTCTTCCCCCCTTCCCCAGGCCTGCCTTTTAAGGCCACAACTGTTGTCTTGGGGGGTGCAGGGAGGGGGAGACAAGACCCAAATAAGGCGCAGGCCTGGCAGCTTGGACTTGGGCTGTGGGTTGAGACATGGAATGAGAGGCGCCTGGAACTCAAACCAGACGGGTCCCACTGGCCAACCCCCAGCAGGGAGGCTGCCGGCCCTGCGCCAGGTCCCACCACAAGCCTTTCACTCAGGCACAGCTGTCTCCCTAGCACACAAGCCCCAGGCCGAGCATGCCTAGCGGCCACAGGGGGCTGCAACTTGCCACTCAGGACAGGAACAGGGGTATTCTGGCAAGGGAGATGTCACCATGAGCCATGTATGCTGGAGCTTTAAAGAGCTGAGTGCAATCCCACGGGGTAGAGAATTCTCAGTACTGAAGCCTTGTTCATGCCAGGCAAGTACTCTAGCACCTGAGTCATGCCCCCAGGCCTTTGGGCTGTGAAGTCTTTTGTGTAGGGCTTGAACTCAGGGCCCTCTGTTCTTGCTTAGTTTTTTTCTCCTCCCCACCCTCAGCATCCCCTACTGATCAGCAGCTTTTACTGAGGTTCCTTAGGCACATGCAGACACAGGGTATTTCAGAGTTATTCACCCTCCCTCTTTTTCCTTCTCTCCTTCCCCCTCATCTTCCTACATATGCACATCATTACAGTCATGTGCTGTATAGAGATCTATGTTTTTAATTATCCTTTGTTCTTGTGTGTGTGTGTGTGTGTGTGTGCATGTGCATGTGCATGTGATATGGTATTGGGGCTTGAACTCAGGTCCTGGGCACTGTCTCTGAGTTTCTTTGTGCTCAAGGTTAGCACTCTACCACTTGAGCCACAGCGCCACTTCCAGCTTCTTCTGTTTATATGGTACTGAAGAATTGAACCTAGGGCTTCATGCATGTTAGGCAAGCACTCCACTACTAAACCACATTCCTAGCCCATGTCCTTGAGATTTTTCACTCAAGGCTGGTGCTCTACCACCTGAGCCATAGCACCACTTCTGGATTTTTGCTGGTTAATTGGAGATAAGAGTCTCACAGACTTTCCTACCCGGGCATGGCTTTGAACTGTGATCCTCAGATCTCAGCTTCCTGAGTGGCTAGGATGACAGGTGTGAGCCAGCAGCACCTGGCTTCTGTGTGATGTAACTCTGATTCTCCTATTCTAATATTTTCTTCTTTTTCCATAGCATTTTCTACCCTCAGACATGGAATAACTGGACCAGTTTCTCAGCTGACTGCCACCTGCCTTCCCCAGGCTAGAACATAGTCCCACGTTGTACCTGATCAAAAAAGTGTCCAGTAGGGCCTCAAGGGCCTCAACAAAACTTTGGTTGGTGAATATGTAAATCACGGGCTGGAAATAAATTTCAAGCAGGCACCCTAAAGAAAATGCATACAGAGGTGGGCGCCAGTGGCTCACACCTGTAATCTCAGCTACTTAGGAGGCTGAGATCTGGCACAGTTCCAAGCCATCCTGGGCAGGAAAGTCCATGTGACTCTTTCTTTCTTTCTTTCTGTTGTTGGTCATGGTGGGGCTTGAACTCTGGGCCTGGGTGTTGTCCCTGTGCTCTTCAGCTCAAGTCAAGTGCTCTACCACTTCAGCCACAGTGCCACTTCCAGTTTTCTGTTGGTTAATTGGAGATAAGATTCTCATGGACTTTTTTGCCCAGGTTGGCTTTCAACCATGATCCTCAGATCTCAGCCTCCTAAGTAGCTAGGATTACAGGCAGGAGCCACCAGTGTCCAGCTACCATGAGAATTTTTTTTTGGTCATGGGACTTGAACTCTGGGCCAGGACGCTGTCCCTGAGCTCTTCAGCTCAAGGTAAGTGCTCTATCGTCTGAACCACAGTACCACTTCCTGCCATGAGAATCTTATCTCCAATAAGTCATCCGAAAACTGGAAGTGGCGCTATGGCTCAAAATGTTGCAGCACTAGCCTTGAGCATAAATGGTCAGGGACAGTGCTCAGGTCCTGAGTTCAAGCCCCAGGACTGACAAAAAGGAAAGAAAAAAAAAAAAAGAAGGGGCTGAGAAGGTGGCTCAGTGGTAGAGCGCTTGCCTTGCATGCATGATGCCCTGGGTTTGATTCCTCAGCACCACATAAGCAAAAAGCAAAAAGCCGGAAGTGGCGCTGTGGCTCAAGTGGTAGAGCGCTCGCCTTGAGCTGAAGAGCTGAGGGACAACGCCAAGGCCCACAGTTCAGGCCCCACGACTAACCAAAAAAAAAAAAAAGAAAAAAGAAAATGTGCAACTGGAGCTGGGATGCAGCTGAGTGACACACTGCTTACCCAGCATGCAACAGGCCCTGGGTTTGAGCCCTAGCATCCCTCTCTCGCTCCCTCTCTCCTCTCTTTTCCTCTCCCCCCTCTCTCTCTGTCTCTCTCTCTGTGTCTGTCTCTCTCTCTGCCACACACACACACACACACACACACACACACACCAATAGTGCATACATCAGACTCCAAGTGCCCCAACAATGAACACAGATGTCTAATGCCAGTCCATGGTATTCCTAAGGGCTGGGATGTAGCTCAGTGGTAATGCACTTGCTTAGCAAGTGCAACGTCCTGGGTTTGATCCTCAGTACCAAAAAAGAAAAGACAAAGAAAAAAAAAAGAGTAGTTCTGAGTTATTCATCAATGGATTCCTGGCTTGAATTGCTTTTCCAACTAATTTGTTTCTAGACATTTCTCCAGGAATCATGAAGAACTAGAAGAATGAACAGAAACACAGCCCGATCAGAAAAGAATGCTTAGGGTTAGGTGCTAGGGACTCATGCCTGTAATCCCAACTATCTAGGAGGTAGAATCTAGAGGATTGCTCTTCAAGGCCAGACCAAGCAAAAAGCCCACCAGAAACACTCCACCCCCATGTCAACCAATAAAAAGGTAGGTGTGGTGGTAAGTGCCTGTCATCCTAGCTACCTAGAAAGCGCAAGCAGGAGATTCACAGTCCAGTCTAGCCTGGGCAAAAGCAAGACAGTATTGAAAAACTAAGAAAAACAAAAAGGGCTGGGTTTGTATGTATGTATTTCAAGTGGTACAGCTTGCTCTGGCAAGCATAAAACCCTGAGTTCAAATCCCAGTGTCCACCCTCCCCCCCACCACACATGTGAAAAGAGAAGAAAGGAGAAGAAAGAAGCATAGGAAAAAAGGGAAGCAAAAGGAAAGAACTTTAAAGAATTAGGAAACTGAGCCCGGCACAGGTGGCTCACACCTGTAATCCTAGCTACTTAGGAGGCTGAGATCTGAGAGTTGTGGTTTGAAGCCAGCCCAGGCAGAAAAGTCTGTGAGACTTTTGTTTTGTTTTGTTTTGTTTTGGTCAGTCATGGGGCGTGAACTCTGGGCCTCGGCATTTCAGCTCAAGGCTAGCGCTCTACCACTTGAGCTACAGTGCCACTTCCAGCTTTTTCTGCTTATGTGGTGCTGAGGAATCGAACCTAGGGCTTCATGCATGCAAGGCAAGCACTCTACCACCGAGTTACCTTCCCAGCCTAAGTCTGTGAGACTCTTATCTTCAGTTTTCCATCAAAATGCCAGAAGTGCAGCTGTGGCTCAAGTGTTAGAGCAATAGCCTTGAGGGAGAAAGATATTAGGGGCAGCACCCAGAGCCTGAGTTCAAGCCCCAGGACTGGCGCATGCCCACGCATCCCCCCCCCCCACAAAACAAAAAGCAGACCTGTGGCTCAAGTGGTAGAACACCAGCCTTGAGTGAAGAAGCTGAGAGGCAGCATCTAGACCCTGAGTTCAAGCCCCACGACCAGCACAAACAAACGAAACACAACACAACACAACATAACAAAACAACCAGAAATGGCGCTGCAGCTCAAGTGATAAGAGTGCTAGTAAAAACCTCAGGGAAGCCGGGCACTGGTGGTTCACGCCTGTAACCCTAGCTACTCAGGAGGCTGAGATCTGAGGATCATGGTTCAAAGCCAGCCTGGGCAGGAAAGTCCATGAGACTCTTATCTCCAGTGAACTACCAGAAAACTGGAAGTGGTGCTGTGACTCAAGTGGTAGAGCGCTCGCCTTCAGCTGAAGAGCTGAGGACCAGTGCCAGGCCCAGAGTTCAAGCCCCACGACCAACAAAACAAAACAAACAAACAAACAAAAAACACTCAGGAACAGTGCGCAAGCCCTGAGTTCAAGTCCCAGCACTGGCACACAAATCAGGAAGTATCAACCTCCCTTCTGAAACTGGTTTTTGTCCAGGGACACTGCCACAGCCCCAATG